AGGGATGCACCTATGTCCAGTTTTTCTTCCATCCCCCTCTGAATCCGTTGGACAAGAGCACTGGAAACTCCCAACCATATTTGTGCAAATCGTGAATGGTGCATAGTTATTCATGGCTCAATCCATAGGGCGAAGAGATCTAGGGGAAGCGGAGAGGAGAAAGGGCTTCTGGATTGGATCCTCGGGGATCTAAAAAAGGAAGACCAGCTGCTTGAGACCGACCCCATCCTAAAGAAGGTCGATGAAAAGAACAATGGCACCACGAGTTTGGGGCGGAGGGGATCTATCGTAGTTCCACCCAAGAAGTCCGATGCGTTTTGAGGAAAAAAGAAGGGGGGAGAGAGAAAGAGGGGTGGGAGGTGGAGGGTAAAATTGGGTTTAAAAAAATATATATCACATGCGAATGAGTTTTGATGGAATATTAACAGACCTTAACGGTAAGGGTAAAGTTAGCCAATCATCAGAAACAGTAGGAGAAGCATTAGTCAATTTTCAAACAGTAAGGGTACATTTAGTCAATTAGCTAAACCATAAGGGTAGTTTAAGAAAATTACCAAACAAAATTTAAGGAAGAAGTGGGGTCTATTTGTAATATGTAAATGTTATGGGTTATTGTTTGGGTTATGGTTGAATTGGCCCCGGGTGCCACGTGTCACCTTTGCGGCCGCCTTATCACTTTGGCCATGTCGGTACCATGTCAGCAGATAAGCGCAACCAAGATAGGAGAGCGTCATATGGATAAGGAGGATAGCTCCGTCGGGGATTAGGTCTTATCCCAAAGACCTCAACGGACAACCTCACCCCTACAACCCCAGAAGCCTCATCCGAATCAGACACGGATCTTTGGCTATAAGTAGGCAATCTCCACTCAAGGTAAGGGACTTTTGACTTTCTAGCACCCATACTGTTACTCTGCTCGGACCAGCATTGCTCTCTCAACTGCTCGGCCGACCACCCATTCTTCTCACTGACTTGAGTGTCAGAGTGCCTACCCGAGGAATAACTCCTCGGGCCTCTAACTCTGTTCTTGGTTTCAGATCTTGTTGCGCGACTTCATCTTTCCACCTTAGCTTTGTCCAGTAGGCAGGATTATCTGATTGCAACCTCGGTTCAGAATACCTCGAATTAAGTAGCATCAGATTGATGCCATCTATGGGAATCGCACAAAAAGCCATTTCAAACCTTCTTTTCGCGCAATCAAGAGAGATGCCAAGAAATGCGTCCGACCGCTCTACAGGCCGATCCCCATCTTGAGGATCCTGCTCTCACCTTAGCCCCCCGCAATGCGAATCTCAACAATAGCTTCGGTCTCAAGAACGCTAGTGCTACATATCAACGGCTGGTGAACCATGTCTTCAAGGACCAGCTCGGCCACAACGTAGAAGCGTGCGTGGATGACATGCTGGTGAAGAGCAAGAAGGTCGAGCACCACCAAGCCAATCTCAAGGAAGTCTTCAAACTCTCAAGAAGTATCAAATGAAGCTGAACCCGATGAAATGCGCTTTCGAGATCGGCACTAGAAAATTCATGGGGTTCATGGTCACGTAGAGGGGAATCAAAGCCAATATGGAAAAATCAAGGCCATCCTTGACATGCAGTTACCCTGGACCTACAAGAGCTCATCCAACGACTACCTGGCGAGCTACCTACAAAGGGTGCAAGAGCTCATCTAATGACTCGAACACTTCACCATCCAACAGACCCCTCGAGTCGAGGCCATACGAGTTGATGCACTCTCAAAGCTCGCTGGCTCGTCGTAGACTAACCTCGACCCAACAATTTGGATGGATACTTTGGCCAAGCCTAGCATCGTGCCAACCGCCTTCCTCATCCTCCTTGTTCAGCAAGGCCCATCCTAGATGAATCCTATAGTACAGTACCTTCGGGACGACAAACTACCAGAAGACCAAGCTGAAGCCCAGAAAATC